GGCCGGTGCGCCCCCAGCGCTCGGTGCCGCAGCCAGGCGGCCTCGTTCGGCCGGGGAGGGTGCAGAAAATCCCTCCTGCAAAAGTTTTAAGGTAGGAAGGATAAAAATCTGCATGAGCCAAGGGAGTTAACCGGGACTCGATGTTCTCAAAGGTCTTTTCCAGCCAAAGTGATTCTATGATTCTATGACAACTTAAAAACCTATCTAAGAAATCAGGTGTTGCCCGGTATTATACGCGCTAGACGCTGCTGTGTTTTACCTGAACTGAGGTGTTGATCAGCTAAGGATCCGTCTTATCATTGCGACCTGAGATAGCGTGCAATATTAACCACCACCTTTGCCCTGGGGTTATAATCCATGTCACTGTAGCTCCAGGTCTCTTATGAAGACCGACGTGTTATCTGTCCGAGCACCCTTCCACAACCGTCATGCGCTCCTGTTAAGATAGCAGAGGACGGCTTTGTTAATGAAACTGTGATGAAATGGCCCCTTCAGAAGAAAGAGTACAGAGGGATGAGTGGGCAAGCCTTAAGCTCCAAAGGTGAAAAACGTACAGGCTAAATATTTCCTAATGCTAATTTTACTCTGGCCAAGAAGTTTTTCCATGAACAATCCTAATCAAGAAGCATTAGGAAATAAGCAGGGCAAGTGTGGGCTTATAGCATTCACGGGGAAGAAAACTATGCAGTAAGCTATTTCCCACACTTCTGCAGAGCTTTTTAATCGTTCTTGCTAATACAAACTGGTAGGAATGCTGAAAAGGTAATAACAGATGAGGCACAGCGCACAGCTGCTTTGCTGGAACATCCGTTGCGTGTTAGTATGAGCATGTGTCTTTTAGGAGCTATTGTGATTGATGTAATTTTGCTATTTAGGGAAATAAAAACACCTTACAAAAGCTGAGGGAGTCACAAATGACAGAGAAAGCAATGCTCTATTGCCAACGCCACTGCAAGGGGATATAGGTGGGTTTATGTTGCGTGTGAGAGTCTTTCAGTTGGTCTTAGTCCCATGCATGCTCTGTTACCAGGTCTCCCACGGGATCACCCGGAAAGTTACCATTCCTTCATGTGGAATAACTTCTTTAAGCATATTGACATCTCGGCAGAAAACGTTCACATTTTGGATGGAAATGCACCTGATCTACAGGCAGAGTGTGACGCATTTGAGGATAAAATCAAAGCCGCTGGAGGAATTGAACTCTTTGTTGGAGGTGAAAACCTGAAGGACTAGCAGACTCCAAACACTGGCAGTAGGCACTGCCTTTCCTCCACCAGCTATCTCATTAATTCACAGGAGGGTTCATTTTCAGTGCAGTTCAGATTTGCAGTGACAGCCAACCCATACGCCATTGCCCTGGGTGCTCGTGCGCTGGCAGCCTTGTCTTCCAATGCACCGCTCCCCCAGTTTTAAGTCTTGCAGTCCAGTAAGTGAATTGTTCAGGAAACGATTAGCAGGAGAAGCCGGCAGGGCTGCAATTGTACTGAATACAAAATGTATTACAATTGCCAGTGCTGACAGGAAACTGCTAGGAGTAGTTGGTCCTCTGAGCCAACGGGAGCTCAGCACAAGCTTTTCCCATCAGTTTGCCTTAAGATTCTGCCATCTACATGTCTTGGTGTCCCAGCACAGTTAGGCAAGAGTCTTTGTTGGTTTCAGAGGGGGCTTTTGCTGTCTTTCCTATCAGAAGCAAATCTGAGCTTGAGCAGAAAAATTCCAAGTGTTTTTCTCAGAGCTGTATCTATTCCTGAAGCGCTGAATGTCCTTCTAATAGGAGTGCTGCTGGCTCTGCTTCCTACAATAACCGTTACAGCCACTGACCTACTTCTCAAACTGTCTCTGTCACAGGTATCGGCCCAGATGGTCACATTGCCTTCAATGAGCCTGGATCAAGTTTGGTATCCAGGACGCGAGTGAAGACCTTGGCTATGGACACAATATTGGCTAACGCCAGGTTCTTTGATGGTGACCTTTCCAAAGTCCCCACAATGGCTTTGACGGTCGGAGTGGGCACTGTCATGGATGCCAGAGAGGTTAGGAGAAACGCAGTCCATAAAGTAGTTCTTGAGCTCGGCTTCCTGCAGTAGCTAAAGATTATCCAGTCTTGGAGCAGCATTGCACCCTGCTGGTGTAGGCCAGCTTATGCTTTTCCCGACACAGATAGCTGAATACCTGATCCTCCTGTTCTCTTGCATCCTGCAACTCTATGGAAAGGCTCTTGCTCTGTCTTCCATTTTTTGCTCTACTAATGCTTACATTTGTGTAACCCTGCAGTACAGTTGTTATCCGCAGGGAGCTAGAAAGGTTTGGGAGGATGTCTTTCTTTGGTTAAGAATCTCATCTGGGGAAATAACTGCAAGAATCAATGGTTGACTTGATGTTACACCAGCAGATCATTAAAACTGTATGGGATAGCTTTTAATGGAGTCTATAACCTTGATTTATACTTGTTAAGTCTCAGCGTAGAGGTGCGTAACAGGAGAGCTCAAAGGATCTGAATCATTACAACGGCCCACCAGGCTGATTTCATTGACAAATAAAACACAGCCAGAGCAAACAGAATTGTGATATGGTGAAGCGCCTCTGTGGAGGACGGCAGAGATATCCCCCTGTTAGGGACCAGGGCAGCTCTCCCTTCATTCAGCAGGGTGTGGGTGTGCTCTCTCTGAATGTGTCTCCTAGAGCCTAACTGCCATCCTCTGTGTCTCGGAGTCCAGGTGATGATTCTTATCACAGGAGCCCACAAAGCCTTTGCTTTGTACAAAGCCATCGAAGAAGGTGTCAACCACATGTGGACAGTATCTGCCTTCCAGCAACACCCCAACACTGTCTTTGTGTGTGATGAGGATGCCACACTGGAACTCAAAGTTAAGACAGTGAAATACTTTAAAGGTGAGTGTTTGACCAGACCAAGCAGCTGTTGTGCTTAGTTTTTAGGTGGCAAAAGCCATGCTTTGCATTGTATGTCTCTGCTTAATCAACTCCCAAAGGAGTACATACCTTAAATGCAACAGCTGAGATGCACAGCCATAATACAAGCATAAAGGTAATGCTTAACTGTGTGGGCATGGGAGCAAAGGAACAAGGACTCTAGTAATGCCTAACTTCATGAGCATCCAATGAATGAGAATTTTGCTTTATTACATCTACTTGTCATTTTTTTACTTGCTGCATTAGGTTTAATGCTGGTTCACAACAAGCTTGTGGAACCCTTATACAGCATGAAGGAGACGGGAGCAGAAAGAAGCCAGTCTAAGAAGCCATACAGCGATTAATCTCTTGCTGTTCAGAGTAATGCTGAACCAGCTTTTCTGTTGAAAACCAGCTGTGAAGAAAGGGAACTGCTGCAGAAACTCATCTCGTATTTGTTCTTAAATTAGCAAAACGATTATGTGCTTGCTTCTTTCCATTAAAAAGACAGATGCACCTGCCTTAATTAACCCAATGAGGATGGGATCCAGTATACTGTGTTCCACAAACTTCCGCCACTAGCTGATTCTCTGAAGGTAAAGTCATTGGAGAAGTTGTTTCATCTATGAAGCAACTGTAATCACGTGTCCCAAAACTTAATTGTGAAGATACATGAAAGTACAATTCCTTGCAATTATGACAAGTACCTTTTTGTGTCACTCCCCTTCCACAATACACTCTTACATTATAGACATTTAAAACTGGAACTGAGCTTGTTCAAGCCTGGAGAAGGGGAAAGCTTCAGCATGTCCTAATAGCAGCGTGCTTCACAGCTGCAGGGAGGTCAAGAAGATGAAGCCAGGCTCTCCTGGGCAGCATGCCGGGGCAAGATGAGAAGAGACAACGGGGCTTGAATTGAGAAAAGATGCTCAGACTGTATAGATGGAAAAAAATTACCCAGGAGGACAGTCAAGCAGTGGGGCAGGTTCCCCAGAGAGGTTGTGCAGTCTCTATCCTTAAGAGGTTTTCAAGACCTGACTGGGTAAAGCCTTGGCTGAACCCTGCTTTGAGCCAGATGTTGGACTTGAGACCATCTCAGCAAAAGGGAGACTAACAGACAGCATCCATCAGTGCTGGATTAATAATACACTACCATTAATGCAGTTAATGGTTAGTTTACGCATCCATATGATTTTATTTGTTGTCACACAAGCAGCCTTACGCGTTCAGTTTCAGGTTTTCTGATGTACTGCAGGAGAGATTTGTTCAGATCAAGCGTAAACGACTTCTGTCTGCTGCTCAGCACTCTCTTGTGTCAGCGCAGAGCCTGAAGCACCAAGTTCTCTCTCCCTCTTTCCTATGCTTTACATTGCAACAAAGAAATGCCAAATAAGTCTCAAAGGAAGCACTCTGGTCCCTCTGGCCTCAGCCTGTGTTTAATTACAGAAGCCCTGCACAGGTGGACAACAGCCAGTACTGGCAAGACCCCAACAATTCTGAAACTTGATTCCTGGGTTTGCTATCAAGTGAGGGGCAAGACAAACAGGGGAGCATTTATTTTCTTTATGCAGAAATTTTGTAAGCTGTTGATCTGTAATGTAACTTTCTACAGTAAATGTCTTAATTTCTTTCCTAAATGGTCACATTGACTGTACCTGCTGCTGAGTGTCACTGTGCTACGGAAACACACAACAGTTTATGTGGGTGAACATGGCTCATAACACCATCTTTGAACAGTAACACCACAACCTTCAAAGCATGAGAAAGACCTGTTAGTTTGCACCAGATTTCTCTGTGACCTAGAACCAAAGCTGTATTGAAAGCAGTTTGGTAGAAATAGTAACTGCTGCTCCGTACTTCAAGATCTCCCCTTGCCTTGTCCAGTGTTTGCTGGCAGGTCTCCACCAAACACCTGCTAGGGTTCTGTCCTGTCAGGCAGCAGCCGATTCATTAAAGAAAGTGGGGATCTTTAAAGGAGAAGAGGTCATAGTGCTCTACCTTTTACCACAAAATGGCTGCAAATAATCTTAACGCTCATTCTGTGCCTGCACAGAAACAGAGAAAGTGAGGAGGTCCGCAAGAGGGAAAAGTACACACTGAAGAAGAAACTCTGCACATTACCAGAGTTGCCTGCCTTGCTCTCTTGTCAGTGAAGACAGGTTCTGGTTTTATCTGTCGCACCTTTGCAATACCAGCTGATTGTCCTTTCCTCAGAGGGTCTGTCCTCTGCCTCACTGCAGAATATGGGAGCTCCAGCCCAGGGGTTCCCCGAGCACCCAGAATTCACAGACATGGTGGGGACTTCATTGCTGTTCCTCCTCTCCACGCACAAAGTTCTTGAAAACAGAGGCACTTCACTGCAACATCTTCAAATGCTTCACCATAGCACCTGAGCTGTGGCAGCTCTGGCAGACATCCCCAGCCATGGCTTTTCATCCTAAGGTACCCTTTGGCATCTAGGCCCTGCCCTCAGCCCACCTCTGTCCTGGCAGAAGGGACTTGCTCAGCCTTCTGTAGGTTTAAGAGATCCAACACCATCTCCTCCATCCAGGCAGCGAAACTAGGTTTAAGCATATGCTTCTCCTTGTCACAAATATTCCCCATCTGCCCACGTCTGCAGCTTAGTGGGAAGAAAGCCTACTCCAAAAGCAGGCAGCATTTGGACTCATCCTGTAGAATTAAAAATTGCAGCCAGAGTGGAAACTACTGTGGGGATTAGAGCTAAAATCTGGCTCCATCTAATGCCATGTTCCTGCAGTAGCATCATGATAGCCACTGTGTATCTTTTAGGGGCCTGCATCTCCCAGGGAAAACCAGGGTTCTTTGGGAGTGAGGGCACTCTGCATACATAAACCTCCAAATTTCTACCAGCAGAACACATCCTGTGCCAACGTCACTTGAGTGCTTTGTGCAGGCCCAGCTCTGGTCTGTGTCATTCTACAGCAGCCACGCGAGCGAGCGCCTTGGCCCATGGCACACAAGCACTAGAGGCAATGGCTGCCCAGATACAGAAGAGAGCTCTGTCTCACACACTGGCCTGTGCCATAATGAAGACAAACAGGGACACAACGATATTTACTGTCTTAAAGTGAATTTAGTGCATGTGAAAGGTGCAGGAAACACAATTTAAACTGTGT